GCAATGGTAATGGTTTTAGCATTTCAAAGTGGCATGTCACATAAAGATGTTAATATATTTTACAGTGAAAAACTTTAAATATTATGAATTAAAATTTCTACTTCATAAAAATAGATCAAAAGCCTGCCTACTCATGCATGCAGGTCTTCTGCTTAGAATAATACTGTCCAGGCTTGCAAAATGAACTCATATAGATCTATAGAGCCTTGACTGCAAGTAGACCATTGCCAGTTGCAAACTTGTCCCTGTCTTCATTATTTTGATCCTATGTCTGATCCTTCTTTTACCGATGAAAAGCTGCTCCCAATATCCGGATCCCCACCCCGCTTTTACCGATGAAATCCCGCTCCCCATCCCCATCCCCACCCCGCTTTTACCAAGTCCCATGGTCATGTGCATGCATCCAATGTACTAATAGTATACATGTGCAGTCAACAATGGAGGCTTATGGAGCTACATGTAGCTATACATTTTGCATCAAGAGTGCATGTACTCTTAGTTGCATGCATGCAGAAATGCTCATCAGACAGTGAGAACATTGCTCAATTATGAGTTATAGGCATCTAAATACACATACTGGTACTGAACTGTTACCACCAAATTTACTCGAAACATCTTAAGAGTTGGCTACATGCATGTAAATATGCTTTTTCTATTAATCTATTTTTTATAGAGTAACTGTCATTCTTATAATATATTACAAAGAAATACATTAATTGTAGGAACAATGAGTCAAAAGAGAGAGAGAGGAGAGGGTAAGAGATTGAATCGTATCACTTATAAATAGATAATTATTAGTATCAAAGACCATCATCATCATCAGTTTTTTCATAATTCAAACAGTTCATCTTCCACTTTCTCTCTCACTTCAGTGTCTCGAGTTGGTGACCATTTATACGTCTTGGCGAACACTCTTTATAATTTATCACTGTATCAGTGTAAAAAAGAACAAAATAATAAATATAATAAGTACTTGTACACGTAACTATTTATCCTGCCAACCAATGTCTTATTAGTTTTGCAGTAGTGCAGGTAATACGTAGCTGCAGAAGTCCATGAGCACTACTCATCATCATCATGGACAGAGTGGTGTAATCATAGATGTAATTTACAGCATTGCATTCCAGGGTTTCCCCAATTCCAAAAATATTTTAGCCCCACCCATTTAAAAGGAAACTAGTCAAACTATACGGAGATGGCCACTGATCAAACTTGTCTAGGTACATTTTTAGATCTAAAGCCACTCTTTTGATGTTTACCTTTAGATATTGGTGACTTGATTGATGTTCTTGACTTATTGAAGAAATGTAGCTTTCAAAGGACAAAGTGGCAAGAGCTGGGACTGAGACTAGGCCTACTGAAAGATACACTGGAAGCCATTGAAATGAAGCACCGTGGTGATGTGTTAATATGCTTGATAGAGTGCCTCTCCCAATGGCTACGTAGAGCTGATAATGTTGACAGTAGAGGAGGAGCCAACTTGGACTCACTGTCAGATGCTCTAGGATCTATGAATGAAACTGCTGTAGCTGAGAAGTTAAGTGAGTCAACCATAACTGTATGTAACTATAATCATTGTATTTTCTATCATAGAACATCAGGTTCTTATTAATATTTTTAATAATCGTCATACTGTCCTGTCTCAGTCTCTTTGTGATTCTGTTAGTATTGCTTGGTCTCTTTATGGTGAACGTATGTTAACACAAGAAGCAGTTAGTAGAGTGGTGTCAGCTAGTCCCTCTATTCCTAATCAACGTGAGGCTCTATTAACTGCTGTCAAAGAAGCTGTTCAAACTGATCCCAACAGTTTACATACATTTGCTAATGTATTGTGTACAATCAGTACTAATGTATCACTGGGACAAACTATACTGGATGATATTAGTGAGTGTGATAATAATAATGGTGTCGTTACATTATGTTGTGTTGTTAATTGAACTATTATGTTTAGGTAAGTATTTTCCTACTCCTGAAGTGGGTGTGGTTCCTGAGACTATTAAAGATCATGATGTAGTTCCACAAGGTAATAATTATTATTTAATTAATTGATAATACTTTCATTAATATCTATAGATAATACAAGTACTGATGAACCCAAAGCACCAGCTAATAGTGCACAATCTGGTATGTCATAAACATAGCAAAAAATGAATTGATACATTTATTCTTCAATCTATAGTCACGTCTAGTCCTTCTGATGGAGCAGTTGCTAGTAATTCATCTTCACAACCTTTATCACTTCAAGGTAGACAATATACCTTTTACCAAGAGTAGATGATAGTTAGAGAGAGTGTTGAACTGCACTATGCTAGCTGGAATATGATAGTGCTGGGCGATATATCAAAACTCATGATATTTAATCGATATAATGCGGTATCGATACTTATCAATATCGAAAAAATTTGAAGAAAATATCGATACCGAGACCACGCCCACAAAATGGTTACATAACCTTAATAAATGGTTAATTAACCATATGAGTAACATCTCGAAAATTACAAAAATGTATTTTCTTGGAAAGTAGATGAAGTAGCTGAAGTATATGAAGCCAAAGAAGGTTTTTAGAATGCTTTTCAATGATAATTGTTCTCA